GTTATAGGTCATCTCCCCGGCCAGACAGGATTTGTACTACTAGCAAAATCTCCTCTGCACCAAAATCTCAGAAACCTTTGAGGCCAGAGCATATGAAAGGAACAACGAACCATTACACCTCAGGAAGCGTTGTCAGAAACGCAAGCAGAAACAGGCAGCCAGTGATGGGAATGTACTCTGAGAACATGGACGCGAGCGACTGGTCGCTGTTCACCAGCTCTGACGAAGCATCCTTCACCACCGAGAGCACCCGCGACTCCTTCAGCACAGTTGACTATGCGGCAGATGGGACAGCCGCGACCGCCTTTGATCCGTTTGCGCCGGATTACGCCACCTCGAGGACAATCGCGTGTAACATGTTCTCGGGGAGTAGGGCCCGCACGACGTTCTTTTCAGAAAAGAAAGGGTTCGTCGTGGATTCGCATATGCCCAGCGCGAACCTCAGCAGCGTGGAGGAAGAAGAAGAAGTGATGAACCCTCCTCCAGATGAGGCTTTTTTTGTTGATAGAAATGTAAATTATGGGTATGATGATGATTCCTCTAGATATGGTGTAGATCCCCAGACTGGTTATTATCATTGTTATAATTATCAGTTATAGTATTATATGTAATGTGATTTGGGAAATGGTGTATAATTAATGCAACATCTTAACCCCCCAGCTCTAAGAGGATGAGAAGAAGAAGAAGAAGAAGAAGAGTAGAAGCTGCTAACTGTGCCTCCAAGTTTTGTTTGTCCTTTTTTTTTTCTTTTCTTCATTGTAAGAGGCACATCTTGGGCTTTTGAATTGACCTTTGCTCTGTCTTGTTCTTGACATTGTTGCAATAAATTGTCATTTCTCTTTTGAAATGTTTGTTTTGCTAAAAGCTAATCAGGAATCATCAATATTTCGAACGGAAAACTCTAAAAATGTAGTGGCACCGCTAGGAACACTGTTGGCCAGTGTCAATGGAATCGTACCCATATATGTATATACACTACTAGACATTTGTCTCGGTAAAATTTTGTGAGTTTGATTTTTATGACATCTCAGAAAATATGTTGACATTGGCTTAAGATTTCTAATTTTTGATGAATATTAATTTGTTATGATCCAATATTAAAATATGAGTGTGTTCTTTGATTGAATCTATTCAATTTTCTGGAAAAAGATTAAACAAAATTTACATGGGAAAGTTGGATTTAGGGCAAACTTGTGGGTTTTTTTTTTTTTAAAAATAACTTATGGGGGTTAAAACATCATTTTCCACGAAAGGATGCAACTCTAGGGTCAATTTTTGAGGAAAGACCAGTTTTTTATTCACATATTCATACATGTGCCGTGCGTGTCTCTGTGAACATATGAATAAGTTAGGGGTAATTTAGGTATTCTAAATGGATAAAAAATCACATTTTCCATTTTCTAAAACGAACACGGGACAAAGGAACGTGTGCACAGAGAAACACTTCCACAAATTTAGGAACAATTAAAATTTAGAGTCTATTTTAACTTATTTTTAGTGAAACACTAAAATTCTTTGATCATAAATTGTAAGAAAAGTATAACTAGTTATAATATAAATTGTGTTTAGCTTAAGATAAAATTTTGATATATCAAATTTTAATTTCATTTATTTATATTATATTAATTTATGATCAAAGAGTGTCACTATTTGACAAAAAATTCAAAACATGAAAGATTTTTAGGATCAGAGAGAGTATACTTTTGAAAAAATATTGACAAACATATAATTGAAATTGGTTAGAAAATAAAAATAATGGGAGTGATACTTTGTACTATATTTTTTTCCCTTCAATTGAAAAGTGAGATATTGGAAATTTCATTTTAGAGATATTTGAAAGTGAAAAATGTAAAATTGATTTTAATGCAAAAAAATTGTTGAAATTAAGGAAGTGAAGTGAATGGCTTTTCCATCGACATCCAAATGAGGTGCACGGAGCATGCGTACGGACAAAACCCCATACCTCAAAAGAAACTTCAAAGAATATGCTAAAGCATGTGCTCATGATTTATTATTCACCAAATTTTTCTGGTTAATTAAAATCATACGGAAATAATAAATCCTTTTTAATATACTCATCCATTTGTTCTAAATTAAATTGCCCATTATGCGAGCCGTTTGTTTGTAATGTCGAAATACAGTGCTACGATGACCCGGAGACGCTACGATGTCCCATTCGTAAGATTGACGGTTCCTACATTCTATTCCTCCGATAAACCACCTATCCCACTCCGACTCGAACACACCTCACTCTGCACCCCCAAGTTAATTTTGACTCCAAAGTCAAAATTAACTAGGGGTACAATTGAAAAAGTGGAGTGTGATCGCGTCAGAGTGGGGTGGGGGGTTTACGAGAGGGTTATGGGGTAGGAAGTCTCAATTTTATGAACGGAGCATTGTAGCGTTTCCCAATCATCCCATGACATCTCCTCCGATCAATATATCAAATATGAATGGATACTACATTATTATATAATCGATGGAATTTACAAAAAAAGAAAAAGAAAAAGAAAAAAATCAAACGTATTTTGTGGTCGGAGATAGATGTGCATTTTAGGTCGGAGATCAAAAGTTGTGGGAGTTGCGGGACAGATTCTGGGTACATACAACGTAGTTCTGGTTGGCCCATCAACGTCTACGTTTCACTCTCTACTAAGCTTACCTACCATCAACATCACAAAATAATGTTTTAAATAAGAAAAAATGATTGTAGTATAATACTTTCTTTGTCTCTAAAAGATTATCACAGTTTATTTTTTTGGTCAAACTATGCCATCTTTTGACCGTGAATTTTGGGAAAAAAAATATGTTTAGTTGTAATGTAAATCAAGTAAAATTAGATTTATTTTAAAATATACTTCCTCTGTTCGCGAAAAATCTTTCTGGACACTATTCACAAGATCAAACGTAACTCTCTTCATTTGCTTACTTTACTACTCATTTTATAAAATAATATAGTCTTGTCACCACTAGTTTTGTAAAAATTTTCATGTAATTTTTTACTATATAAATTTTATTTTAAAATTTTGCTCCAATTATCAAATTTATTGAATTGAAAATAAAGTAGATCAAGTCTTGTAACGCGTAATGAGAAGATCTTAGGTAGACAGAGGGAGTAATTTTTAATTATTAAATCTTTTATAATATTTAATTATTTTAAATTATATTTAATTCATGGTCAAAGGGTGTCACCGTTTGACCAAAAAAGTTAAACTATAACAATCTTTATTCCGACCCATAATTATCTTCTTTTTTATTTGCAAACATTTTCTTCCTCACCCTCTTCAATTTTCATATCTCTACACAAGTCAGAGTTACCCACATTCCACTTTATTAAAAATTGTTACAAGTTAAATCTGAAAGATAGACTAGCAGATATGGGAGATTATTTGGTCTGTATATCGTTCATTTACGATTCGTTTCATACATGAAATTAGAATTGAAATTTTATAAAATTGAATTCAATTCCAAATCTTTTGCTTGGGGTAAGTGTGTAATTAGGGACTTAATGTAGAGTTAAATTCCAAATTAAGTATTTCGCATTCTTTTCTTGTGTTACGTAGCTTAAAATGAAGAATTGGCAAACCAAAACCCACATATTCTTTACTACCAAACAACAGAATTTGGGAAATTTGAAATTAAAATGAATATATCTTTTATGCTAACAAAAAACAAAGTTGATATTTAAAATCTCCAATTTCTTGGTCTAAATTTCGTGTGCCAAGCGGAGTCTTAACATAATTAAACCAGAAAAAAAATCTATAAAGTGCTCAATTTGTCTCCAATCAGTACTTAAGAAAGGTCCCAGCACTGTACGTCCCTCATTTGTTTTTTTCCGTTCCATACAAACAAAATTTGTAGAATCGGACCCTATTACTGTTTGGTTGCCCAATAATGAACGGTTCTCAATAAACTAATTAATTTTTAGAGCTCCTTTTCAAAGTTAACTTATTTTTTTTTTTGCAACAAAAGTTAACTTATTATAACATGCTTTCTTTTCATAAAAACAGAAAATTCGAAATATAATTGACACGATTATTAATAAAAAATAGAACTGCATGTTTGAAAATAACAAAGCTGAGAGATAAATCATATGAGGCTGACCCGCAGGTATTTTACTTTAAATAGAAAGTGGAATCACATTTCATGAAAAAACAAAAAATTTATCAATTTGTTAATAAATGATTCTAAAAGAAATTATATTTGTACACTGTTTGAAGTGAGACGATAATTATTTTTAGAATCAGAGGAGTATAAGCTTAAATATAGAAGGATAACAATATTTTCTGGGCTTTGCATGATTAAGTTGGAAACTATTCACATTTTTGATACTATTAACTATACAATATTGACGATGGTAAATATTGGATTTAAGAACTTAATATCTTATCTTTGACGGTTGTTAGAAAACGAATCAAGTAATAAATTTCCATGTTAGGATGCGTTTTAGATTTTCTTGCACCCTTTACCCTTTATTTGTGATACTTTTTTAGTTTGATGTTGCAGATGGATGAAAGTAAACTTCGAAAAAAATCTTTTAAATGAGGTAGGCGTTCATTTATACTTATTACTCGTTTCGTTTCATAATTTTGTTCATGTTTATTTTTTCAGGGTATCTGATGTATTATTTTTATATATCAATAAATATACTACAAAATATGATATTTTAAAACTTTATTTTAAAATGAATCTATTGATATTTTGTTTTTAAAATTTAAAATTTATCCCAATTTTTTTATTGAATATTTTTTGAAGGTTGTTTTTATAATTAAATGCATGAAAAATGAACATTTATCCCAATCTGCTCTATGATATCATCCTACCTCCTAATTTTAGCCAGTGGTTGTTAGAAGCTCAGCAATGAAGACTGAGTCATTAAATGGATATTAAAAATTAAAAAAAAAAAACAAAAAGGAAACAAAAAAGAAAATGAAAAAGAAAATGAAAAAAATGTACAGTACTTGTATAGACAGCAGTCGTAGCACGCAAAGCCACAATATTTTGTGACCTTTATAAATTTGACCCCCAAACGTTCGTTTCGAAGTCTCTCCTCTCTCTCATTCCCCACCGGCACCGCCGACCGTCAGATCGCCGGAAACCCCTCGTCCCGACCCTCCCCCATCGCTCGGTTAATTTCCCGGAACAAGCCGGTCTAGGTCACGACCCAGATCTGTTTGTGATTCTGGAGGTTTGTGCATACTTTTTGAGAGATCGAGGGTTCTAGCGAGAATTTGATGTGTTAGGCGGCGCGGTGGTTGAGTGTCGGTGAAGTTTTGAATTGACTTGGGAACGGGGCTTCGCAATCTTCGTCTCGAATCGGTGTCGGTGGGCATAATTCGCCGGATTCCGCCAGCTTTTCACCGACATTTCTTATCCGGTGCAGCAGTGGGAAGATGCAGCAAGATCTGCGCAAGAAGGTTATCTTCCTTTCTGTTTCCTTCGTTTACGTCTGCGTTTATAGATCCATTTCTACATTTAATTTCGAGATTTGGATTTGAGAAAGAAGGGATCTTTGCAGGAAAAGATAAGATCTTGTTATTTCCCGCACATTTCAAGCTGAGCACTCATATATTTCTTATAATCAAGCATCCGAATTTGTGCTTCGCGAGTCTTGTTTGCCTGTTCTGGTTATTACCCTTTTTTATTATTATGTTTTCTTGTGTGCAGACTTCCAAAGAGATGGAGTTCTTCACAGAGTATGGGGATGCAAACCGGTACAGAATCCTTGAGATTATAGGAAAAGGAAGCTATGGTGTTGTTTGTGCAGCCATCGACACTCATACTGGGGAAAAAGTGGCAATTAAAAAAATAAATGATATTTTTGAGCACATCTCTGATGCAATTCGGATTTTGAGGGAAGTGAAGTTGCTTAGGCTTTTGAGGCATCCGGATATTGTGGAAATCAAACGAATTATGATTCCTCCTTCACGGCGGGACTTCAAAGATATATATGTTGTTTTTGAGCTCATGGAATCTGATCTTCATCAAGTTATTAAAGCCAATGACGATTTGACGCAAGAACACCACCGTTTTTTTCTCTATCAGATGCTGCGTGCTCTGAAATATATGCACACAGGTGATATGATAGTCCTTTTTGTATCTCATATACTCCCCTTGCATATGTACATTGTTTAATTTGTTTTATTCTGACCTAAAATTATTTTTTGTTTCAGCCAATGTTTATCATCGAGATCTTAAACCAAAAAACATATTGGCAAATGCAAACTGCAAACTAAAAATATGTGATTTTGGATTAGCAAGGGTTGCATTCAGCGACACGCCTACTACTGTATTTTGGACGGTATGCCTTGTTCTGAGCAATGATCATTCTTGCATACTAATTTACTCCATGTTTAATTTTCTTAATGTAATATTTATTTCTTCAAGCTACATAGCATCGAAGTTTGATGTTCTTCTCTTTTTGATGCATGAGCAGGATTATGTCGCCACAAGATGGTACAGGGCTCCCGAGTTATGTGGATCTTTTTTCTCCAAGGTAATTCATTGTAACCACATTGTATGGACAACTTCCATCGGCGGCTCATGAGTTGTATTTTATTGTAACTTGTGCGAGATAGTGCTGGAAAGGAAATCTTTTGCTGTGTTATTGTATAGATGATCAGAAATTGTTTGTTTATTTCCAGTTGGTCTTTTTTTTCAGTTTGTGATTTTTTCTTAAAAGTGTATTGTTAAAGAACTCAACATGTATATTCTGAGTGCATCAAGTAGTACTGTAATGTGTAGATAATACAATTCTTGTTCAGGGAGGACTAATGAACTCTCCTGGAAGTTGAATTTTCTTTCTTCAGGTAACCGTGTCAGGTCTTGGGTCAACTTTTTTGGCAACACTTCATTTTTTTGCTTACTGTACTTTGCGATGCTTGTTTGCAGTATACTCCCGCCATTGATATTTGGAGTATTGGCTGCATCTTCGCGGAGGTTCTGACTGGGAGACCACTTTTCCCCGGTAAAAGTGTTGTTCATCAGTTGGAACTGATTACTGATCTTCTTGGGACACCACCAGCAGAAACCGTTTCAGGGGTAAGTGAAAACAACATGTCTTCTCCATGTCTTGCATTTGGTATTCTGAGTGTTTTTTTATCAAGTTTGCATCTTTTTGCTTTGTGTAATATATCAGGTTCGTAACGAGAAGGCTAGGAAATATCTAATGGATATGCGCAAAAAGAATCCAGTTCCTTTTGCCCAGAAATTTCAGGGGTTGGATCCATTGGCAGTTCGACTGATGCAGAGACTGTTGGCATTTGACCCTAAGGACCGTCCAACGGCTGAGCAGGTAAAACTTGCAACATCTAGGTTCCTTTTGGATTCAAATGTATTTATACTACAAATGTTTTTTCAGTTTTGATTTCTCCGAGGTATATTAATCTCTTCAACTTCGGTTATGTCGATTTCTCCAGGCGTTGGCTGATCCTTACTTCAAAGGACTAGCCAAGATTGAGAGAGAACCTTCTTGTCAACCAATCTCTAAGCTGGAATTTGAGTTTGAGCGCCGGAGGCTGACAAAGGATGATGTTCGAGAATTAATATATAGGGAGATTTTAGAATATCATCCTCAACTTCTGAAGGACTACATTTCCGGAAACGATGCAAGTTACCTCTACCCCAGGTCTAACTTTTTTTTACTTTTATCTTTTTTTTTGTCACTGCACTGTAAAAGTAGATGCAATAACCAAATTATTCGATGCTTTTAATGGTGTTACATCAACAATAAATCAAATAAAATCCCCCAAAAAATAAGCAAATCTTTTCCCTACGAAGTAAAAATGCTATTTTAACCGTCAGTTTTTGTAAATGCAGTGCTATTGGTCAATTTAGAAGGCAATTTGCTTATCTTGAAGAAAAGAGCAGTAACAACGGGCCAGTGATTCCTCCCGAAAGAAAGCATGTCTCTCTTCCACGGTAAGACTCTATGCAGGCGTGTCATGTAAAAAAAATTTCTCTCGAGGTTTGATTGATTTCATCTCAACAACTAATGGATAAATGTATGCAGTTCCACAGTTAATTCAAGTACCGTCCCACCCAAAACCCAACCAAGTGGGCCCATGTGTGATCATCGCCGAATGACCGAAGTATATGTGGATGCCAGAGTTGCAGAGACCGTTTGTAATCACCTACCCAAGGTTTCACGACCACCACCTCCCGTTCCAGCAGCTGCAGGTATGCTAAAAGCTTAGAGTTTGGAACACTCCAAAATTTCCCCTGTTTTCTTTCTTCATGGCATTTTTGGAGTTCCAAGCAGAGACAGAGCGTCTCTAGCTCTCATGTTTGGCAATTCTAACTTGTAACTGTGCGTGTTCAGCCAAACCGAGAGTTGTGGGCCCGGTTCTACCCCTAGATGGACACATACATTCTCGGAATCCGGTCATGCATCCGCAGGGAATGCCTTCCCATTATTATGTATATAGGACTACTAACTCAGGAAAGAACGAAGAACAGTATGGAGGAGCGGAGATTGGGAAAGATTCCTCTCACCATCACCACCACCACCACCACCACCATGTGCCGTTGTCATCCGATGCAAAGCTAACCCCACCTACTAGATCCAACCCAGGCGGCGGCGGTGTTATTAACAGCAACCCTTATTGCCACCACCAGTCACATGCAAATAATGTAGGCCAACTAAGTAGTCAGATGGTGGCGCTTGATGCTAAACTTATGCAGCAGGCACAGACTCATCGCGAGGTCGGTGCCGTTGTCCAGTATGGTCTGATTTGATCATCTCCCTGTTTAAAGCAAACCATCTTTAAGTGTATTGTGTCCTCCAATTTAGAGTATAGATCAGAAGAGGGGCGGGTTTGTTTCTGCCCTGTGAAAATCTTTGGTTTTAGGGTACCCTCTTGCTCGGTTATTCATACCCCGTGTAAAAGTCAGGTGTTGTATCAATTGTTTCCTGATTAATAATAATAATAAGTTACTCCTTGTGTCCCTTAAGGCTTTAACTCCTTACTATTTTTAAGAAATGGAAACACCTAATTATGTCTATGTATTAAAATAAGACTATATTTCATAAATTTATAATGTGAAATAATGTTAATTTATAATGTCAAAACTTATTGTGAATTGCTAACATATAATCATACTTTTAAGAATCGGACCGGTGATTGAACTGGTAGTGTTCACTGGCAATGGTTCAAAAATATTTTACATATATTTCGTCGAGCAATGCTAGAGGTACACCTTTGGTGTACCCCAAATGTACACCACCCCCTTCTCCGCCATCCATTTTTATTTTATTTTTATTTTTTTTATTTATATTTCTTGCCTTTTTTTGTGGACAAAGAGGGGGTGGGGGACAAATGGGGTACACATTTGGTGTATCCCTAGAAAAATGCTAGGGGTACATCAAATATGTACCCCATTTGTTCCTCACCCCCTCCTTGTCCATAAAAAAAGGCAAGAAATTTAAAAAAAATAAATAAATAAAAATAAAATAAAAATGGGCAGTGGAGAAGGGGGTGGTGTACATTTGGGGTACACCCCTAACATTGCTCATTCTATTATGTTCAATTTGTTTAAAATTTTGGAACTCAAATTTAATATTCAATGTATATTATGTTCATTTTCTTTAAACATTTTTGTTCTATTATTTAATATAAGCTTTTAGCCAAAAACTTTATTTAGATACTCTAAATATTCTATAAACATTTGTTTATTTATCATTATATCTAATTTGAGTTCAAAGGGGCAAAAAGAGTCAAACTAAGATGATATTTTTGGAGAAAACTACTAAAATAGAACTAAAACAAAGTTGAGACATTTTTTAAATTTTTACGCATATAATTTAATTAGACTTTTTAAATTTAAATGTTGTGGAGTTTTTAGTTTTTATATCTAACTTTTAAATTTACTCTTGCACCTAACCCATCTAACTTTTCTTAAATACTACACCTAATTTAATTCAAATTCTGCACCTAACCTAACTTAACTTTTCTCAACTACTAAACAAAATCCCGCACCTAACTTAAATCCCACCTAACTTTTACTCAACTACCACACATCCTCAATAACTCAACTCTACTATAAATTTGTGGCAGAAAATAATAATCTCACTACACAACTATAAATTGCACAAATCTTTTTCACGTTTCAAAGAAATGGACTCTCGTGCTAGCTTTATCCTTCTAGCCCATTGGAACGACGCATTATAAATAGAAGGCATCATGCCTGGTGAAAAGGATGCAAACAAGGCCTCCGTCTTTGATCTTGAAGTCTCATTTAAACAAGTCTTCAATGAATTCCTCGCTCCTGTTGGAGAAGATGGTTTTGATTCCATCAAGAAAATTTGGGAGAAATATCCCAAATACAAGGATGAAGTATATGCTGCCTCACGCCCTTTTCCAATTTCCTAAGAGCTAGCAGACTTGGAGGTGCTTTATTCAAAAGGCCACCAATTGATATGATGAGCTTGAGGTGTACTTAGAGCCACACCGAGTCAAGAGGAGCTTCACGATGACGACATGAAGGAAGAAGCAGGGCCGTCTAACACCGCACTAGGTGTGGACGATGAAAACGACCTTGACGATCCCACTTATATTGGTAATTCTGACGATGAGAGTACTTCTTCAAATGAGTCAGAAGTATCTGATGGGTCTCTATGTGCACGTCGGATGTGTATATACAGGAGCCTACGATCATTCGTAATTCAGTCGAGATTGCACCATCTGTCCATAGGAACGTTGAGCAAGTATCTCTAGAGCTAACGTTCCGTGTCCCAGAGATCGAAATTGGCCAAACTTACGTTGATTTTAAAAGCTTGCTATTTGTTGTATCTCTTCGCAATATTGCAGAGCATAGACAATTTCGGACTTCTTCAAAGCGTAAAAGTTACTAGCTAGCAAAGTGCTCATACCTAGAAGAGTGCCTATGGCTCATTTAAGCTCCTGAATCTTCTCTTTGGACTGTAAAAAAAACAAAAGTCAACATTTATGTAGACCTGATTATTTCAAAGAGAAGGATGACAAGCTTATCACAAGCGAACTCATTTCAGGAATTATCTTTTCCAAAATTATAGCTGATGCAGATTACAAGGTGAGGTACATCGTTGAAGATGTATTCGACATATTTCGAGTAGCTGTAACGTATAAGAAATGTTGGTTGGCCAAGTCTAGAAATGTTGGTTGGCCAAGTCTATTACGATTCAACGATTGTATGGGTCCTGGGAGGATTCGTACAACAAATTATTGCCATTGCTAGCTGTGCTCATGCAAAGCAATTCTGGGTCAGTGACCGAGATTCAAATGTTGCCCACATCGTCACCTCAAACATTTCAATTCATTTATGTTTTTTGGACTTTTAAGGCATCCATTGACGGGTTTAACTTCTGTTTTCTTATTGTCTCTATTGATGGCACTCACCTGTACAGGAAATGTAAGGGAGTCTTGTTATTTGTTGTTAATAGCAATAGCAATGGCGGAAAATTAGGAGCTTTTTCCATTAGCTTACTCCGTAGTTGATAAAGAATACGGGGATAGTTGGAGTTGGTTCATGATGCATTTAATGCATCATGTAGTACCCGTTGAAATGCATGTGTGCAACATTTCTGATAGGCACGGAGGGATTGATGTAGCTTTCAATAGAATCCCACAATTAGGAGAACAACGTGTATCATGCATCCAGTACCCCGGATCTCTATAAATTTCATCGAACAATGCAAAAGATTCAGACACGGCAGGTAGAAGCATATGATTGATTGATGACTTTACCATAAGATAAGTTGGCACTAAGCTACGATTGTGGGTTTGGGTATGGATTAATAACAACTAATCTTTCAGAGAGCTTCAATCAGGTATTGAAGGATATCGTTCTCTTCCGGTATATGCTATTGTGAAGACAATGTACGAGAGATTAGTTAAATTGTTTGCAGAAAGGCGGACGGACAGAATTACGTGGTTACAAACAGGGCTTAAGTTCCCAAAACATGTTCGGAATGAGATCAGAAGAATGGAAGATAATCGTTTGCATTGTCATGTTTTGAGCCAACGCATCTGCACTTGTGGGAAATGGTCCACATTACATGTCTTGTGTCCACGTCTATACCGTATGCCGTTTTTGTAAAACAACGGTTGATGATTTGATTCCATTGGTGTTCTCACTGCAAAGCTACCTGAATACATACTCAGGAAGTGTTATGCCATTACCAAATGAAATGGAATGGCCTAATGTTGGTTACGAATTAGTACGACCAAATACGGGGCAACGGTCACAACTCGGTTATCCAATAAGTACCCCAGTCATTAATAACATGGATATGCGACCACGAAGACAACGTCGTGGCATGCAGTTCATTCATAAATTGCTAGTTGTAATTCTTGTTTATGTGGTACATTTCAATTATGTATTTCTTTTGGGCAATAACGTGTGTGTGTCACACACTTTTTTTTATATGATTCTGTACCGAGACAAAAAGTAATGTTTTAAGATTTGTATTTTATTTATCTATTTTTTCATTAATAAATTATCTATTATTATAAAAATTATAAATCAAATAAAAAAACATAATTTTAATCTACACTAGTTAAAAAGTAAATAATTTATAAAATTGATAACGTTATCTAACTAAAATATAAAGAAAATGGTAAGTTTTTGTTAATTAATGGAGTGAAACAGTAGATGGAGTTCCATTTCAACAAATGTCAGTCCGGTCATGAATGTAACTTTCAAGTTCTGCACTGATTGGAAAATCCCCAGACTAGGGTGGTTTCCCTCACATGGAAAAAAACCCACAATCTAATGCCTTTTGGTGTACCCCTAGCATTTTCCAAATAAAATTTCTAAAACCCACCGTCTAATGCCTCAGGCACACTTTCGCATTCCATAAGTGCGAAATGTGCTTTTTTGCTCTGACATGATCAGCACAACTGGGAGTAGTTTATTTGCTCCCTCCGTCTTTGAGTATTTATCTATTTTTGATTTCTTTTGGTTAAAATTAGTAAACCTTAACCTCAAATTAAATAAAAATGATATCAGATATTGATACAAAATTAATTTTATTAAATTCATTATATCAAATACTTTCAAAATATTATTTTATCTAATTAATATAAAATATATATTTTATTTAATTGTAGGTCAAATATTGAAAGTAGTTGACCAAAAAAAATCAAACTAGAAAAATACTCAGGGACGGATGTAGTATTATTTTTATACTCGCGTCCCTAAAATGTTTACACAGTATGACTTTTTTAGTCAAACTGTGGCACCCTTTGACAACGAATTAAATACTTTTTAGTCACGATTTCTATTTAATTGAAACTCAAAACTTATCTAGTTTGATTTGAAAAGGTAAAACTAGAAAATACATTGAAACGGAAGGATTATAATTTTGACATTATGTCTCACTTATATTTTTAGGTTAGAATTATATTTAAAATATATTTTTCATCAAAAAAACTTATAACTGTAATATAATTTGATATTAATTGGTCTTATTGAATAATCAAAATTTTAATCCTTATATATAAGAAATACAAAGAGAATCATAATCGTAATAGAATAATAATTATGGTAACAATAAAATAAGGAAAGTAAATAATAACATCGTGTTTCCTATTTTGGACAACGTTGCTTGATGATATGGAGTTCAAAATAATGAAAATTTGAATGTGCAAATCCATACATTCAACCCAATCCACAATTATCTACAGAATTAACCATCCAGCCCAATCCACCATTAAACATTCAAATATTAGGGAGACAATGCCACCATTAACAATTATGGTAACAATAAAATAAGGAAAGTAAATAATACTCCCCCGTCCTAATTCCATCTTCCCACATTGACTATATGTCATTTTTAAAGGAGTGTAAAATATGCATTGACTTTCCCGAAATGCCCCTAAAGTCTTCCACTTCACCCAACATTGCAGATCTAAAAACACTCGCAATGTATAAATTTGGTAATTGTAAAATTTAAAACATTTCAA